CCAGCGTTCGCTACGTTACGTAACGCGTTTTGTAGGACATCATCTACGGCAAAATTAAAGAGAAACGGAGAGAGGGCAACCCTATCGCACCCCACTGGTGACATGAAATGAGGGTGAAATTTCACCAAAGGACCTAACCTTCCCGGAGTTCTGGTGATAGAGCGCTTTTAGTAGTGAGACATAATTCTCGGGTACTCCGTATCTCCACAAACAGTTCCACGGTGCAGGACGATCGATAGAGTCGATAGCCGCTCCGATGTCTAAAGACACGACAATGGTTTGTCGTCTGTATGCGTGGTAATGTTCTAGTGGCTGACGGAGGGGGAAGACTTNCTTCTCACGGAATGGGCATAACCTGCGTATTAAAACGGACTCTAGCAGCTTCGGCGCTATTGGAATCAGACTTATGCCCCTGTGGTTGGAACAGGCCTTGCGATAGCCCTTCATGTAGATGGGTGTGACAATGGATTCTCCCTGTGTGTGGGGTACACTTTCAGTTGCCAAGATCTTCGAGAACAATCTCACAAGTTTTCTTACGAGAGCCTTTCCACCATCTTTAAAGAGGGCAGGTGACGGGCCGTCTGATCCAGCTGCCATGTGGCCTTTCAGGGTTTAAAGTTCCCTTCGGATCTGTGGCCGGTTCTGTGGATAATAGGATTGGAAAAAGACGTTAATCGGATCACTGAGCTCGGATCCTGGATGCGCGTTTCCGAGAGGCAACACATACCAATCTCTGGATTTTCGAGCGTACGAGCCAAACCTGCTTATTTTCCTGTACGCATTAGAGTTCCAACGTTGAACGAAGCCAGTTTGAACGCAGAGTGAGGCCAGAGAAATGGAACGGTCCGTTCCGAGACAGATGCTAAGGAGGATAGCGGCGAACTACAACATGAACCTCCGTCAGTGGAACCGTTTGGGATGAAACAAAAAAGGGAGAAAAAGAGAGTATTGTGTGGAGGGCGGTTGGAAGTGTTGCGTGCAGAAGTGTAGTACTCTGTGACATGCGTAAATGTGTATGTTCATAAGTCCATGGTTAGTTTGTGGGCGTGGTACTACCCACTTGCCCAGGCCGAGGTAGAGGGTTTTCTCGGAGGACCCTACCCGGAGCCTTTGGTTAGAGAACCTGACCCACAAGGAAGTGGGGTGGAATACGGATTCCACGATCCTCTGAGAGCCAGTGATTGTGGGACCAGTTCATACGCCTTTCTGATGCGGCCAACTATCCAGAGTACCCAGCTTGCCCTTGAGCCGCGCACTTGCCGGTGAGCATCACGGTGGTCAACTCTAATAATTAAATTTGGAGACCGGTTCGGTTGCGCCGAATATTGGTGCCACTATGAGCTTATTACGTCAGCCGTGGGTGGTTTGGAATCAGGGTTTATCCAACTCCCCTAGACTGACTACCAGTGTTCAGTCAACCCGGTGGAAAGCGCCGGGTATTCGCCTTTGCCCTCCCACTTTAGTGTTAACACCTCCGCCACGAGAAGGCAGTGGGTAGGACTTCCTCAGCAGAAGCTATTTGTGACGCTTGGTCGTTTGAGAGCATTTCTACAGGAGTTCGGGATGAATGGCCATTTCGGAGTCCGAGACACCCACTCCCGACCATACTGAGGCATTTGGAGGTGCCAGCTGAAATCCAACAAAAAGTTCAAAACAGTGAATGCGGCAATCTTAGCTTGATTTACTGCTATGAGGGAAAAGCACGGCGAGTTCCGCTTGATGGGGAGCATCATTTGTAAGAAGGCAATCTAGCTAACATGAAGAATACAATATCTTAAGTTCAAGGCGTCCAAAAGTTGGTTTCACTCTTGGTCAGGCAGAAATGTTATTCAACCGTACAAACTGAGAGAAAAGCAACTACTCCTGTGCATTATTTGGTAGGTTTGTGGGGAAAGTTTACCCGTCCCACATGATGCAGTGGACGAGTTTCGAGCGAGTTGTTCCATTGATGCGCTTACTGTGATATTTGCAATGCAGATGAAACAGCCTTGTATTGCAAGCAGCTCCCAGAAAAAACATTAAGTTCCTAAAGGCAAAGGTAGTGTCTGGATCCGAGAGATACCTGGACTACTTTATGGGAGCATAACTGGAGAAAAGTTATCATCGTTGGTTATTGGGGAATTTGTAAGTTTACGATATCTCCGATTCATAGATAGAAAAAGACTTTACTGCATTTATAATTCTTGAAAAGACCCATGACTGCCTTCTGCGTCATTTCACAGTTAGCTGTCCAATGTCAACCGCAAAATGCTTTCTCAGGGATGCCCTACTTTGCTATTTATGGATAACGCCCCTTGCTATAACAAAGCCGCAGTATTCTCCAATGTCAAATCAGTTCGGTTCTTCAATGCTACATCCAGTTGATCAGGGTGTGATTTGGTCTTTTAAATGTTTGTTTCGCAAACATTTACTGCCATTTGTTTTTTCTTTGATTGAAAATGAGCAGCTTAGCATGAAATCCGAAGTGGACATCCTTATGGGTATGCATCTGGTCAAGAAAGCTTGAGTGTCTGTGCATCCGCACGTACTGGTCAACGCTTCCATAAAAGATGGGTCCGAAACCATATTCGTTAATGTAACCACCAGAGGATGAGATCTGCTTAAAGAGTTTACTCACATTGTCCATTGATGAACGTCTTTTTGTAAAAGAAATCGGCTCATTTCGAACAAAGCTAAGCGTCGCAAAGAAGAAAATGAATGTGATTGCACCGGAAGTTATCTCAACTAGAGAGGCACAGAATTTACTGAATCAACTGAAGCTATTTGAATTGATTAATGCTCGGATTTCCGGTCGATTAATGGAGTGTACAACTGATTTAAACGTCGCGCTTGTTGATTTTCAAAGGAGAGTCAGGCTGAGATAAACGACGATTTATGACGGCTAAAAACATCTTTGTGATCAGCAACGGTTTTTTTGCAATTCTGTGGGGCACTTATGTTGCAGACACGGATATTCCATCTATCGATGGGTCCTGTCACACTAACTTGCAAAGGAGTGGACGATAATCGTGATCGATTGGTAATCGGGTGTGGATTGAGATGTCACATCCAAACGATCAATAAAAGCAGTCGCGCGGACGCGCTGTGAAAATGAACGAATGATCATCGCACTTGTCCTTGCTAAAGCACCGATGAATTTGGATAGGTCATTGAACCGGGTTTGACGCTCTCCTGAGTGTTTGAGCGATGCACTTCTAATATGTGCATCGCGTCACTTATGTTTACCCAAACCGGCCAGAAAGAATGTATCAAGCGGCCGAAACATACACTGGCAACAATAAAAGCGAACAAACGAATAGATGTTTGCAGACGCTAATGATACACATTTTTCATCAGAAAATCATGAACAGATTGCACAGAGAATAATCAGTTTGGATTAAGATAAAGAAGTCGCTGCGCTAAGTACACACCGTAACAGATATTGCACATATTTTAGATGAGGTGATTTCCTTCGAATGCCGTG